TTTGTTTGTTTGTTTGTTTTTTAGTTTTCAATTTTGAAGTTTTATTTCATACTTTTTGTTCAGTGGATATGATTTTTTAATTTTTGATTTTTTTTTTCTGGTTTGGATACTCAAGTGTAGGATTACAGCACAGTGAAAATGCTTAAGTCACTAACCTTATTAAATGCAAGAATTTGTTACTTAAGGCTTGGTACTAAGTGAATTTTTGTAGTTTTGATTTGTTTCTTACAAATCCTTTTTTTAAATAGGGACAGCTAGTGGTTCCAACAGTCCTACCTCAGATTCTGCATCTGTACAGAGAGCAGACACTAGCTTAAACAACTGTGAAGGTGCTGCTGGCAGCACAGCTGAAAAATCAAGGTAAGAGTGAATATTTCAGAGTTTTTATGACATCTAAAGGAAGAAATCAAGATGTTTGTGCTATTCATATAGTAATAAAGATATTTAATATATTAGATGCCCTTGGCTTTGCATGTGTTAAACAATCAGGGATTCCAGTACCTTTTAATATGACTCTTAGGTGATTGGGTAAAGATGTATATTACAACATAATCCAAAACTCTGAGGATACTATGTTGAAAATGCTGTGCTTTTATTTCCTTGTAATTTGAGGTTTAGGGATTGAAGAGCATGAGCTTCTGGAGACTCTATTATAGTACCACACGAGGTGTTTTGGCAAAGCTGCCCCTTTTGCCCTTAAAGAAATTACAGGCACAGCTAAAAATTTCTAGATGGTTATAATAGACTGTGGTACCTCATACACATATGCGGCCTTGAGTTGATGAGACATTTATCAAATTGCTTTCTTCAACCATTTATGCTGGGCATCCAATATCCTTTTGAAATTGTAGATTATCTAGCTCCATTTGGTCATGTTGAAATATAATTTAAAGTTGAACTGACAACATAATTCATTATCTCAAAAAGAAGTACCCTTAACATCTTTAAAAATAATTGTTTGCTTGAACTCAAATAGAAATGTGCCTGTGGCTGCCTTGCCTGTAACTCAGCAAATGACAGAAATGAGCATTTCAAGAGAGGACAAAATAACTACCCCGAAAACAGAGGTGTCAGAGCCAGGTATGATTTTTGTTTAATATTAGTTCAGTTCTGAATTTGGTAGTGTGAGAAAGGGTTGGTGGGGGGAATTCTTTTCCTTCCCATTGAAGGACCAAAAAGGAGGGAGAGTTATGAAGTAGTACAGGCCAAGCAAAGAACTACTATATTAAAAGTGTAAAATAGTCATATTCTTTATTCCCTCCTTTCTTCTTTGGCCATCTCCTTTATTACCTTCATAGCTGCAAATGAGTGACATTTGTAATCTGGAGAAAGAAAACATTTAGAACTTAATGAGCTTACATTCAAGGCCTTAAATTCATAATCTAAAGCAATAAATATTCAGTCTTGATATTGTCAAAGTTGTGGGAAACATTTAATCAAAAGAATATATCAGATACTTAAAAGTTGAAGTATAGGATCCCTTTCATATTTTGTTAAACTTGGTATGGAAAAGTGCTTTGACTTTGTTACAGTGACTTTAAGGCTATACTTGTATAGCATAACCAGAAGTACCCTGATGTTTCAAGAAGACTGGCTCGTTTGAATTACCTGTAATAGGCCCTAGAAAAGGAGTCTGCATATCTTCTATAGGGCACAGAAGTGGTTTATTTGATTATTTTGATTAGCTTATTCTTGATAAAGTAACGGCTCAGTACAATATGAAATTTTATTGTGAGAAAATTGCCAAGGGTTATACACACTACTTTGGTGACTTGCTTTTGCTAACACCGTAACCAGGTTTATATGTACTGTATTAATCTTACAAAGTTAAGGTATAATTCTTAAGTTTAGAAGGTGAATTTATTTATATTTGATCTTTTGTAATAGTCCATCCTCCTCAAAAAAACACCAGATAATGTTTGTGATACTTTTGTTTTCTTATGCAAAATTATTGACTTTGGGAGAATAGTTTTGTGTTAGATATGTTGTCTACTACTACTTAGTAGCCATTCTGTTATTCACAGCTGTTTACGTTTTCCATAGTATTTTTCTTTTGGTTCCTGTGTGCTACCCTTTTTCTTAAGTATCTCAGGAAGGCAGTGTTCATCTTTTTACTTGTGGCCAAAGAAAAGGCTGACACCCTCTACCTGCAGCTGTTTTCCCATTCCTTCCCTTCATGCCATTAGGAAAAAATTGTATTAAGGTTGTTTTAATAACTTAGTAGGAATAAGTAATGGTTGGGATATTTTGTTAGTCTAATAGTAGAGTTTTGATCCCAGTAGATACATTACTAATATAAATGAATTATAAATTTAGGTAGAGTTTTACAGTAAGTTGTCATCAAACCAGTCATTTTGCTTCAGGAGCGTGGACATGTACAAATAGCATCAGTGTTAGTATATTATTTAGGCAGTAGTTTCAGCAGTTGATTCATTAATTTGCTGTTCTTGGGGTTTGGATTAATATTAAAACTTAAGAGTTTACAGTGTTTCAGGCATATTTGAATTTTTAGATGTACAAGTAAATTTTTCTAAAGAACTCTTGGTAATGTGAGCTTTAATACAGTAATCTGTAACTTTTTATTGTGACATTCTATTGATAAACTAAACCTAAAGTCCTTTTATGTGAAGAAAAGGTGAGCCTTTTATAGATTAGTATCACTGACCAAATTGGATACTTTTGTAGATAAGTATCCTAAAGTGAAAACTTCCTGTGTACTTAAAAATTTTGTTCTGCCTGTGTAATCCCTAATATTCTAAAATGAAAACTTCATAAGTACTAAGTATCTTGAAATCTTTGAAATTTTTCTACATATGACAATGTTGTATATTTGTGAAAATGGCAAAATAGTCACTTAAAAACTTTAGCATGTAGAGTTGATTTATAGAGGTTTTTTTTTTCTATTGGATTTAAGACCAAAGTACTTTTTATAGCCAAGTACTTTAGAAGCTATTCACAGCTTTATTACTGAGAAATAATGAATTTGGCCTGCCATAACTGAGAAGTTTTCATTTAGGAAATTGCAACGTGGAAAAAGTCGAGTATATGACCAACATTTTCTAGGTCTTTAAAACCTCAAATTAGGTTTTTCTATGAGTTTAAAGTGATAGAAGTGAAGTGATCATGTCACAAAATTTAGATAAACAAGTAGTATGGTGATGAATTAGTTTTCACGTCAAAATGGAAGATTCTTGTTAAAGTTCATAGTTTTAAGAAAGGTTTTTAAACATTCTCACTAAGAATCTTACTGTTTCTCTTTGATTTTTTTTTTAATTTAAATAATTGTCAACTGGTGAATTTTTGACAGATTTCTAATTGTTACTCTTGTTTTTCAGTTGTCACTCAGCCCAGTCCATCAGTTTCTCAGCCTGGTACTTCTCAAAGTGAAGAAAAAGCTCCTGAGTTGCCCAAACCAAAGAAGAACAGATGTTTCATGTGTAGAAAGAAAGTTGGACTTACAGGTACTACACAATACATAAGCTATATATTTCATTGATTGAAGTTATTAACAGGGAGCTCTTGATAACCCCCTAAAGGCCTGGTTGGTGTTAAACATTAAAAACTAATAATTTTTTAAAAAAACAAAAATAAAAAGCCTGACTTTGAGAAATAGAAAGTTTTTATAGTTGGTGTTGAGGTGGGATGGAGTTAATTTCTGTCTCAACTGTGTAAAACTTTTGGTTTCAGGCTCTCTGAGTTACTTTTCTTTACTGGATTGATAACATTCATCCCTTAAGATTTATTTCTTTTGTACACCCAGGGAAAAGATGGTTGAGCCAGCATAGCAATAAGCAACTGCTTTGAGCTAGGCACAAAATGTTCTAGATGCTTTATACATCTTTCCTTTAAATCTCAAAACTCCTTAGTCTTCTCTAGTTTTTCACTTGAGGAAAACATTGCCCATTAGTGCATTGTAGTACTGTCTTTTCAGTCCACTTTAGCCTGACTCCAGAGACTGTAGATTCTATGCTGTTGATATGTCTAAGAGTTGACTGAAGGAGTAGAGCACTTGGTAGAATCACTTGGCAGTTTAGCCCATTTTGTTTTCTATATGTGGCTTGGCTTACCAATTACTTGCCTTCAGTAGTCCCTGTCACCCATATAATATCAAAAGAGGTTAAAATTTTCATAATTGAAAATGATTTGTAATCAGGCTGACCCAATAACAGTGATTAAGCCCTGTGCAAAGGAAGGCAGGTCCCACATGGCTGGCTGACTGTTTTAAATCTCAACCTTGGCTACTTAAAAAACAGGCTGGCCCTTGTAGATACGTGTATGTGCCCAAATTCCTGATAGGATGGAGAATTGAAGGAAAAAGTTGCAGCATGACCACGCCCGTTCAGGGGTACTTTTTTCTCTCCCTGGTGAGCACATATGCCTTCTGGCAATAAAATAAAAGACTTAACCAAATAGTGGAAATCTGGTTTTATTTTCTATAGCTATTGAGGCTTTTGTTTCTTTTTTAATTGTGGCAAGTTCCCAAATGACTCTGTCCTTTCGTCTGTACAGGGTTCGACTGCCGATGTGGAAATTTGTTTTGTGGACTTCACCGTTATTCTGACAAGCACAACTGTCCATATGATTACAAAGCAGAAGCTGCAGCAAAAATCAGAAAAGAGAATCCAGTTGTTGTGGCTGAAAAAATTCAGAGAATATAAATTACTACTTGTGAAGAGACTGAAACTTTGTTTTTATTTTAATATATCGTAGGAAAACATTAAAGAGCAGATGCATGGCCATTTTCCTTTGATGTTCTCCAGAGTTTTACTTTACACTTGTCTGTCTTATAATTGATATTTTAGGATGTTTGGGTGTTTGTTACAGGCAGAATTGGATAGATACAGCCCTATAAAATGTATATGCCCTCCCCTGAATAAAATTGGATGAAAATCTGCACAGCAAATTGAAATACACAGATAACAGGGACAAAATTTAGTTCCCATGTGCCAAACAAAACAAAAGAAATCTCTGCATGTTTGCAGCATATCTGCCTTTTGGGAATGTAATCAAGGTATAATCTTTGGCTAGTGTTATGTGCCTGTATTTTTTAAAAAAATGGTACACCAGAAAAGGACTGGCAGTCTACTTCTACCATAGTTAAACTTCACCCTCTTAATTTCTACAACATGTTCTTTGGAAGCAGGAAGAAGGCTATAAAGAGGATCTGACCTTTTTGTGAAACCAGTATTTGGTGCCATATGTAAGCTTGGTTAAATTAGTCTTCTAAAAGCTGTCAAGTAAGACAGTCTGAAAGGTAAACATCACCACTGGCTATAAGTAAAACTGTCAAGCCAACAACAGGGTCTTGAGATAATCCTTGAAGCTTGTGCTGGCCTGCACCAGAAGATGTCTGCATTACTCTCATTGCTAAAAATGCGTAGCACAGAACTGCACTAGGATTAATTTGTTTACAAGAAGAAATTAAAACTACGTTTGGTTTTCACATACAGCAGCTCTATTGAATAACATGCATCTGAATTTTAAGTTGCAAAGGTATCTGAACAGTTAATTTTTCATGTGCATCTTTTGTTGAATGTTTTGGTTCAAGAAAGAATGTTTAAAGCTTTTTAAAGACTTCAGTTCTTAATGTAACTGTACCCTTCTGCATGGAAAATCATAACCAACATGGCTGCAGTAGACTTCTTAGTGGTATCCAGCACCACTTGCAGAGGGCTGCTTTATCATATTAATTGTACTTGGGTGTAGGACTCTAGTGTTCTTGGGTGTATTGCATGGGCTGCATTATCTACAGCATTGTACAATAACAACTAGAAAAGGCAGTATACTTCACTGATGCTTGTCTGGTAATATCACTTCTGTGTTATAATGGAAGGTTTTTTGTGATGTATGAAACTTGTGTTTTTTATATATAAATGAGTATAGTTAGATTAGTGTTGTGGTAATGCCTGTTTTCATCTGTAAATAGTTAAAGTATGTACACGAGGCACTACTTCTGATTTATTGCAGTGTTCAGTCATAGTTTTTACTTTAATTAAAGCATTCAGTTTTGCTTTCAATTTTATGTACCTTAGTTCTGAGTTAGATCTGCAGATGTGTACAGATAGTTCATATTTATGTATTGCACATAATCATGCTATTCAGCATCGATACTATATTGTATTATGTAAATAATAAAGCCATGTACAGAGGGAAACTTGCACTTGTCCATTGGGTTATTAAGCCTTAGTTAGAATCATAAAGTAGAGTTAGTGTTTCATATTCAACTTTATAGCTGCATACAGACTTTGCATGGATATATTGAGTTTCAGTCTTCTGAAATTAAGTGGGAACCGTGAGATGAGTAGTTTGAAACATGATTTCAACTACATGACAGAAAATCTATTTCCAAGAGTTAAGCACTTACAGGGTCAAATGAGCACGACCTTAGGAGAAAAGAATGACCTTTAATTTGAACAATTATGGCCTGTCTTCCCTTTTCTGTGTTTTGCTTCATTGGATGGCATAAAATCCTGGAGAGGGAAGTTGCCATATATGACTTTGTGCAAAAGTGGTTATATTTCCCTTCTGTTTTGGCTTTTCTTGTAATGTAGAAATGGGCCTATGGACTTGTTCATTGCAAGTGTCATGTCAGGTAAAAGCAGTATGTTCCATCCTGACTTTGCCTGTGGTGACAACGTAAGCATGGAATGGCTGCTTCTCAGTGGTGGAGATTGGAATGCAGTCACTTATCCTGGTTTACATATATCTGTCGTCGTTCTTTCTGTGTTGCTACTTTTGCTTTAAATGGGGAAGTGCATGTGTGCAGAATCATTTGATATTGAAGAGTGATGTGGGAGAGATGAGACTAGATGAGAAGTTGGACTCTCATTCTCATCTCTGGCTCCATTGGTCTGAATATCACGAGAGTGGCAGTGAATGTTTCCATAATCATCACTTTTTTACAGGAAACAATTTAAAACAGGCTTGGACTAAAGGTTTGTCAGGAATATTGTTTGGGAAGAACAGAATCGAAGGGTAAAACAACTAGGAAGAGTCTTTGTAATGTGCAGTGTTATATTAATCTTATTTTATGAATACTAATTTTTAGAATACCTCATGTTTCCATATATAAGCATACTTAAATTTTGCACCCCTAGAGACTAGTAGATGGTGTAATGGTTACATCACTGGACTCCCACGTAGTCCACCACAGTTCAAGTCCCAGACCTGGCAGCTTGAAACACCAGGCGCATGTGAGTGCATGCCGAAAATCCTGAGGAGAATGAGGAAAGGATTGCAGTGTGGCCATCCATCCGGAGTGGTGATCTCTTGCTTGCTGTGTCTGTCTCTTCAGCTAGCACACATGCCCTGTAGCAATCTCAAAAAAATTTTTTGCACCCCTATCACCCAAGAAAGATTGACAGTAATGGTCTGAGCTATGCCTGGGCTGGTCCTTTTTTCATATCAAGAGCCTAATCTGTAAATCTAGAGCCTTGGTTTTTATCTAAAGTGGGTTTAGTGGATTAGTTCATGAAGAAAGGCTGGGCTCTTTTGAGTAGTACCTTAAAGCCTATGACCCTGAAATCAGTCTGTCATTTTAGTCAAGTGACCTTTAGGTCTACATCTGGCTGCTTCATCTGTTAGAGGGCGATAACTAAGCTGCTTTAGGAGAGTGAAGATACATTGCCGACACATGGTATGTATTCAGTGCAAGTATTTGAGGTCCTAGACTAATGATTTTGAGAACTTAGAAAATTATTTGAAAACTGGTGAGATTGGTTATAAGTAGTATAGTGAAAAGATAAAAGATACATAACTTTCAAAGAGTGACTAAAGTTGAGTAAGGTGCTCTTTGCAGATACCTGCATTAAATGAAGTCTCTAATAAGTAACTAAAAAAGGGAAATGTCTACTGAGTAATAATACTGTTAAAATAGTTTTGGTTCAGTAATATCCATTTCTCATTCTTTCCTCGTACCCTCCACTCTAGAGGCACGTTTTAGGCAACTGTCATTTATTTGATCTCATTGTAAGCATTCAAATACATAAAGAGGTTTATTTTGACTTGTCTGTTTGAATGCAAAATTCTTAGTAGTGGTTTTTGTCCATGAAAGCATGTTATGGGTAGTGATGAATATGGTTGATGGTTTTAAGATTATGTAGCCATAAGTCACCTGTGTTTTGTCGCTGAAGCAGCAGTTAATGAAAAATTAGAAATTTCAGTTTCTCAGTTTTGTACATTTTGCTTTAAAGATGAACATACATATATAATATAGAATATGAGTATTAGAATATTAAATGTCACTTAATACAGCTATTTTTATGCACAAAAGCTGGGTTTTAATTTATATAAAAGCAAAGAGTACTGGTTTTTGTTTTCCCCAAGTGTATTTCTGTTACAGTTCTAGAAGTAAAAGTTAACATTTTGTGGCATAAATGTTAAGACTCCATTTTGTCTACGACTGCTAAGTATTATGGTTTACATAGGTCCTTATGAGAAAGGTACTTCCTCCCACCCCCACCCCAGGTCTATCCATTCGTAGATCTTAGAAATAATACCCACGTACTAAAACTTCGTGACTTCTGATGTTAAGTTTTGTGCTAATAATTGCTACTATCGGGAACCAGCAGTTAGCGTAATGGCTATGTCACTGGACTCCCACGTAGTCGACTGCGGTTCGCGTCCCAGACCTGGTGGCTTAAAACTCATGCTGGGCACGTGTGCTTGCATGCCCAAGATCCCGAGAGGAGAATGGAGGAGAAGGGATTGTGGCGTGACCATCCCCTCTGGGGGGTGATTTCTCGCTTGCTGTCTCTATGTCTCTCTCTTCTGTCTGGCGAGTGCACGCGCCCTATAGCAAAAACCTCTCCAAAAAAAAATAATTGCCACTATCAAAATTAATTCTACAGTGAAAACGTGTATCTGAGAATGGATGTCTCACTCTTCTGTCTGGCGAGTGCACGCGCCCTATAGCAAAAACCTCTCCAAAAAAAATAATAATTGCCACTATCAAAGTTAATTCTACAGTGAAAACGTGTATCCGAGAATGGATAATATGGCACTCAATCCATTAACCTTTGGCATCTGTTATATTTAAATGCCTGCTAAAATTACCTATGTTTAAGCTAGTTTTGTTTTATATTGTGGGTTGTTTGGCATGAAAATTAGATTATTTTGCATATGTGGAGCAGCATAATCAAATTTATGAGTAGGTAGATTATATCAAATGACAAAAATGCTGTAACATGAAACTTCAGAGGTGTAATATAGTAAAAGCAATGGCACCTGTCCAAAGCAGGTGCAATCCACATCATCGGAATATGATACATTCATATTCAGGCATGGCTTAGCATTCAAGTGATAGGCATGTTTATTTGGGTCTTTTAAATGAACTGAGGCTTTTAAAGTAGATTGAAGGGTAGCAATTATTACCTTGATTAGTTGGTACTCACGGTAACATGGCAAGCATCCCATTTACCACATAATTGTGTTCATTCAGTATAAAAGATGTAACCATATCTCAATTTGAAGAGTTACATTAGTAAAACAATATAGTACTAAGGTGAGGATTACACTATTGTTCAGGTGTAACATAAAAGGAGATAATTAGCAGAATAGGTTAACCTTTATTTCATCCCTTACCTGGGACCTATCTTCTGTGTCTAATTCCAAATTAGTTTTGCTGAAAAGTCATTTTAGAATAGGTTTTTCATGTTTGTTTTTTAAGAGATTTTTGCTCTAGAGCAGATGCGCTCACCAGAGAGATAGGGAGAGACAGACAGAAATTAAGAAATCACCCTCCTGGGGAGGATGGCCACACCACAATCCCTTGTCCTCCATTCTCCTCTCGGGATTTTGGGCACACACATGCATGCACTTGGTGTGAGTATTAAGCCACCAGGTCTGGGATTTGAACCTCATTCAACTGCGTGGGAGTTCAGTGACAACCATTATGCCATCTGCTGGTCCCCTACTTGACTGTAGTAAGAATAGTATAAATTCAAAAGTTTCCACTTAAGGTTTTAATTTTTTTTCTTTATGTTTAACACAACTTACTTGATTTTATACACTACCTGCAAAGAGCAACCTAAGAAAATTAAAGATCTGGT